CTGCTCAGACGCGACGATCGCGACGGTGCGGCCCTGCCACGCTATTGGACGCTTCGACAGACGCCGCCGCTGATCTGCCTATCGCGCGGTCGGCACGTCATGCACAGTCGTCGTGCACAGATACGTCACATTCATACATGCACATACAATACCTCAAACCCCATGCAAATGTACTGCCAAATTACACTCACTAGGAAAATATACTTTTTTTTTTTTTTTTCCAAAGACAAATCTTTCTTATGCAATCAAACATTTTGAATTGCAGAAAAAATATGCCTTCTACTATCACAACTAGCGAAAGGAAAGTTCAATTGAACGTGCGTCTAGTGAACAAATTCACCTTGGTGTCGTAAATTTATGCCCAGAAGCACAACCACAACATTGCAGCAATCGCTCAATGCATCAGAGACACTAAACAAAAGCTCGATGGAGATGGGATTATTGACCCAGAAAATGAAGTACATACGTCTTATAGGAATATTAAGTACTTTTTTAATTACGTAAATGAAAATTAATTAATTAATTATACATCACTGTTAAAATTTATATTATTTGTTCTTGTTGGTTAAGATAGTCTCTAGGTGTACACAGTTACTCAGTAGTAAAGATTTTACGAATTTAAATTTGAAAAATCGATTTTAATTGCTGAATTTAATTATGTAATGTCGTCTGGCAATGTGTTGAAACTTAACGTAAATGTTCATATTATCGTACATATTCGTATTATATGCGGATTTCGTGTCGTCAGCTGTTGATCCCGACTCCTGATGAATGTGATTCTACCTCGCGTTGTAATTACAAACATTAGTATGGCATAAAAATATGCGAAATGAATTACCTTTCTCCTAGACGAATAAATATTTTAAAGTGGATAATTTTATAAAGGATCGTTCCCCTATTCATATTTTGAAATTCCTATGTATTCCATGCCAAGGCCATGTCATCAGGCATGCATGCTGAGCAATTTCATAAATGTATCAGATTTCAATTCCAATGGAGGCAGGGCAAACCTGTTTCAGGACCCACCAATGACATTAAACAGGCCACGAGCACGAAAGTGTTCTCAAATTTCTTAGAAGGTATGTGCCAACGCCGAAAATTCAACCTGTCAAAAAAGTAAAGGAGATACGCGAATATTGAAAGATAAATTGCCGATAGCCATGTCTAAAAAAATAAAATCAGGTTTAAAGGTCTAACTGTAAACTAATTACCTGCCAAATTTACGAAATGTACATAAATTGCTTCAAAACGTAACATTATACGAAAAGATAAATTAAATGCAAAACAGACACAGGGGTTACTTATGAGTCGTTGGATTTTCTAATCAATTTTAAAACAATCCATTTCTCTTCGAAAGAAAAGTTTGTTTGTGCTGGCGAAGAATTAATTAGAATCATCCAAATGGCACTACATATGCAGGGAACTGATGTATATTACAATTACTTCAAGGGATATTCGAAGGAATATCATGCAATGGAACTTATGTAGGAAAGATCAGCCTGTGAATCAGTCAATATATTAAGACAACGCGAGTCACGAACTCACGAGATCGTAAGGCAGCACATACTTGAAAGAAGAGACTTCATGGAAGGAAAAAGAACTGGGTCGCCTGTATGCAATAAGGATCTGAAGATATTAAGCCATCACAAAAACATTCCATGATACCGGTCGTGCTAGATGTCACAACGACGAACAACAGAACATGAAGTCGCTAACGAAAAGAAGACACGTGGTCGTACATACGCCTTGCCGCCGGGGAGGTAAATCCGCTAATAATGCATCATGCGATTCATAAGTGCAGGGGCGCCTACAGAAAACCGACAGCCTGGTGCAGTTGATCCTCGGGGGACCCTTACCTCAAACAAAACATTCACACCTCCCCTAATCCATAAACAAAATTCATTTCTCCATGCATCAGAAATAACTTTTAGTTGTACTTTAATAGAATTAGAAATAACTTTAATTTAACTCTTGTTAAATTTGGTCTAGAGATAACAATATTTTTCATCCAATTAAGTCGGGGTCTGCGGCAAGTTACCCCAGCTGCCCTCCCTTCTGGACGCCCCTGCACAAGTGACATCTCCAAGGCCAAAAACAACGAGAAGGCTAAATAATTCACATAATTTTACATGACATTGCCCTTCACGAATAACCCTCGCAGACTTAGCACAGAGTTCTCCACGTGTGTATTAGATCAACAATTTCCATTCCTATTACGAGTTCAATGGTAATATATTCTCACCTTTCCTAAGCCCCAGAATACCTACCCCTACTCCTTTACTAGCATTAGTTGAATTAATCATAAAACATGAGAAAGAGCTATGATTGTTGAAAAAAATCTGATAACCAGAAATGCTTACTCCCTGGTAAAAGAAAATATTTTGCATTGAAAAACGCGCTCTAGATTTGATTACAGTTCTGTCGACGAAATAACCAACCCTCCACTCCTCTCGTCTGGCGACATTACTCAAAAAAAAAAAAAAAAAAGATGTAATACCATGGGTATACAAACAGGAATAATAATAATAATAATAATAATAATGATAATAATAATAAATAATAATAATAAAGTAGTAGAATACTATGAAAACCGAACTAAAGCAAATATTGAAACAATAAAATGGATCGCAGCAATTAAAGACGTCTTGAAATACGCCGGGATACGATAAAAGGAAATCCACGATAGAAATGATTTTAGACAGAAAATTTGTGACGGCAGGGTCGGTCAAGCGAAACAAAACAACAAAAAATCTGGAACCTCTTGGACAGAGGAAAGACAAAGAAAACACTATGAGGTAATGAATGAGATATGGACACAAAATAAGATTAGGAAGTGCTGAAAGGTTTGTATGTTGTACTTCGCGTGGTCCCGTACGTGAATAATAATAATAATAATAATAATAATAATAATAATAATAATAATAATAATAGTGTAGAAGATGTGAGGCTGCAAGCGTAACTATCCAACACGTGACAAGTGGATGTAGCAGCCACGCACAGTTTGAATACAAAAAGAGGCAAAAAGTGGCGAAGCAGGTCTACCAATTATTGGCATTGAGAACGGGCTTACTCGCCACGTCCGTGCCGTATTATAAATATGTGCCTCGGAGTGTGTTTGAAAGTAGTGAGCACACACTCTACTGGGATCGATCCATTGTCACTGACAGACATAGCGGCGGCAATAGACCCGATATAACGTACATTGAAGCCATCTGAACCTTCAGTAAAGCAACCACACACCTGGTCATCATTCCTGTGCGTGGTTGACATACCGACCAGTAGATACTGTGAATAATAATAATAATAATAATAATAATAATAATAATAATAATAATAATAATAGCCAAATTTCATATAATGGGAGCACAGTTTGTTACAACGAAAATTATGCAATGAACTAAACGGCTGCATAATCCATGTCTTTCGTAGTAGCAGCTTACCTCAGTTCTCTCATATTTTTATTTTTTTAAGGGGCGCAGTTTCCTCAAGGACAATGCGCGATATGACGAGCGAGGACAACCGTAAAGCGATGACGACAAGGTTGAGAAACGCGTTTAGACACATCCGGCGGCAGAGAGGAAAAACGTATGCTTGTCCGTCTGCTCATCTAGCCGGGCATATCCGCAAACACTTGAAACTTAACGCCTATGCGAAAGAGTGTTCTCAGTTCAGCAGGAATGGCCACCGATGCACACAAAAACGAAAATCACATTTCATCACACCGCTCTCCTGGTCCGCCCTCGATTTGGTACTCCATTCACTAATCGTACCGTAGACGCTTTTGGCTAATGAAGGTGAACATTTGCACCACCATCAAGTCAGCTAACCTCATTAATTCCCGTAAATTATTTACCTTCTTATACGAAAAGTACTCTTACTATAATACAAACGGCTATTACTGCATACCTTAAACATCAAATGACTCGGGGCTATGTTGTCGATTAACACCAATAATGAACATTTCATTCACAAAAAGAACAATTAACACGTCTAGCAACGGAGCGGACATACGTTTGCTCTGGAAAGCAAATAAGGCAAAATCACGTGAAATACCCCTTAAAACGCCCACACGCTAGTGTTCTTACGTCAGCCCAAACGGCCATCACGGAAAACGATACACATCATATCTTATGACATCACTCTCGCCAGGTAACAAGAGTTGAAGATCTTTACCAAAAGAGCAATCAACACTTCAGGCGACGAAAATATCCGACGTTAAAAATAAATAACGTAACAATTTTATTTTCAACAGTTGTTTGACAATCCAAGAATGATTAGAAAGAAAAGGGTTAAAATCTATGCGTTTTCCCCAATTTCGTCCATAACCTTAATTTTTTTCCGGCAGTTTAGCTCTCCATTCTTCAACAGAGCAGTACCAGCGGTGGCGACGACGACAGCGACATCAACGACAACCAGAGCAAACATTTGCTCACCCGTCTGGCCAAGGCAACGGGGCGAGACTGGTGAAAATCCGCGCGCATCGCTTACTTAGCCCACAGAGAGAAAGAGACCGGAGCAGAGAGAGAGAAAGGTACACAAACAGAACTGGAGACAGCCAGGGAGAGAGAAGGAGATAAAGAGTGAGACAGGGAGAGGCAGAGAGATAGAGTCAGAAATAGAGAGAAATGGAGAGATGGAGACAAAAAGACAAACAGGAGAGAGAAGGAGACATACAGAGTGAGAAAGGAGAGAGGAAAGAGGGAGAGGAGATAGATCGAAATTCAGGAGACATGCAGGGAGGGTAAGAGAGGAGACAGAAAGAGGTACAGAGAGGGAGATGCAGGGAGGGAAAGAGAGGAGACAGAAAGAGGTACAGAGAGGGAGATGCAGAGAGGGAGACGAGACAGAAAGGGATACAGAGAGGGAGATGCAGAGAGGGAGACGAGACAGAAAGAGATGCAGAGAGGGAGACGAGAGAGAAAGAGATGCAGAGAGAGATGCAGAGAGAGATGCAGAGAGGGAGGAAGAGAGACAGAGTTCGCACGCCAGCGCGCTCGTACCGTTAGAGATCCAGGCGACGGGCGAGTAGAACCGGCCGCACGTCATCAAGTCGGTGACCGAGCGCCACCACTCGGGATTCGGGTGCAAGGAGGGTTCACGCTCGGCGGCGACGGCGGCTACCGGCGGCTGCGGACCGCCACTCCCACTCACGCTCACGCTCCCACTCCCACGGGAACGCTCCCCAGGGCGGCTCTTCATTTAAGGAGCGGCACGGATCATCGATGCCTGACCTGCCGCACGCTCACGCTCACTTCCTCTCCACACGCACACGCTAACGCTCGGCAGTCGACGATTCCCAGGCGCTACTCGCCGAAACAACCACACGCGCACACAAACTTCTTATATCACCGGAGGTTAACCTTCACGGGCGTAAACACTAACACGCATCCGTCGTGGCCAATAACACTAGACACACTGCCGACGCTCCACAAACCGCCAAGGTACGCCTGGTCTGGCGCGTGAACGACACTCGACCGAACACCACGCGGGAAAAAAAAAAGAAAAGAAGGGTCGAAACAACGGATGTATGTAAATAGACCGCACGTGACGGAGACTCACAGGCCACGTGCTTCCGTGGAGCGAGCGCGTGCCCGCGCTCATTCACGGCGGACAGTAGTTGCGTCACTTCGTCACCAGCCGGCAGGCAGCCAGGCGGGCGAAGGCGGCTATTCCCTGCGGGATGAACGCAGGGCCTTCTCCTGGGAGAACCGAGCCGCGCGGGCGGGCGAGCGAGCCAGAGTCAGCAACCGGAGACGGCGTCGTCAGGCGGAAAGAGTGCTGACGGACGCAGGCCGGAGAGACTGCGGAGGCGGCTCGAGTGAATTATACGGCACACAACAAGCGCGGTCCCGCGTTGAAGGAAAAGAAAACAGCTCAATAGAAACACACGTCTAGCCCAGATTCGGATCGAACACGTTTAGCAGTACGCCCGAAATCTTACGCGTCTTCTTGCTTCTGATCCACTTGAACAGGAACTTCTGGCGGTTAAAAACGGTTTGAGAACATTACCAATACGACTCAATCTTACAGTGGAAGCTTCAACAGTCACTGAAGCTCACGAAGATGATTTTTCCTGTAATATTTACGTAAATAAGAGAGCACTCGTGATGACGATTCGTCCGAACACGTGCCACAAACGAGTGATACTTTTTTTTGCAACATACACCCCGGCGGAGTACGAAAATAGTTCTTACACTCTGTGACAACAATTCACTCAAGCACTCTTTTCCCTTTCAACACTACCCATACTTCACACGCTGGCCCGGAATTGAAAGTCGCACTTCCTTGAACACGCAAGTGGCAAACTTCAACACCGACGCTGACCACAGCCCCGAGGACACGGATAATCCGTCACCGAGCCTCCAGTACGTGAGTCACGCGTCCGTCGACGGCCGGCGTTCGGCGACACACGCGGCGTAACTCCCACGCAAACACACGCCTCGCCAACAACAAATACGGACCGCAGTGCACTGCCCGCGAGGGACAACTCGCGATTACCTCAGAGAGAGATCCACAAGTTAGCTGTATTTCCGAAAAAAAACACTACTATCTTCTGCCGCTAACATGAGCTGATGAAACCAACACAATGCACGCTGTATATTATCCGGGGAAATCAACTGTCGAGATTCACAGCGCGAGATTCGAACGGGATCAACTCTTTCCACAATCCACAATCTCCTGCCGCTCACTTGAGCCTACGAATCCCAACACACCCGCCACCAGGTAGCGTTGCACTGCCAGGACGTATATCTCGGCAGGCTGTCGTGCGACTGAACTGTCAAAGTGTGAATCAAATCGCGAGATCAGCAACACGTTTGGTCGCCTTTAGCACTTCCCAACACCTACGATTATCTTCCAGACCGCTGACAGCATCCACCGCCACTGACGGACTCCTGTGGCGACGACAACAACAACAACCAGTGTCGTGGCAACGCGCGTGCTGCTGCGGCGGCGGCGTCGAAGCGTCCGGCGGCGACGCCGAGCGCGCGAGTTCCAGGCCGGCGTGCACACTGACAGCAGCGGCGTCGGCGTCGGCGGTGGCGGAGGCGGCCTCCACAACGGGACCCACCACCACGGCGGCGGCGGCGGCCACGTGACCGCCGCCGCTGCCGCCGACGCGGCTTCCGCGAGTAGGCGCGCTTTCGCTGACGCTGTGCCGGGCGCGGCGCGGAGCAGAACTCTGGCGGCCGTCCGATGGCGCCGCGATGCGATCCGATTCACCGCAATGCGATCCGATTCACCGCGAATCGCTACGATGCGATCCGATCCGATTCACCGCGAATCGCTACGATGCGATGCGAACCGATACGATGCCATGCGACGCGACGAGACGTGATGCGAACCGATACGATGCCATGCGATGCCATGCAAAGCGACGCGAGCCGATGCAAAGCGACGCGAGCCGATGCAAAGCGATGCGATGCAAAGCAATGCAAAGCGACGCGATGCGTTGCAAAGCGATGCGACGTGACGCAAAGCGACGCGGGCAGCTCGACGCCGTTGGAGACGCTCCGGGCTGCTACATATGCAATCGAAGACCCCCAAAGTCAGGGACGGCTATCGGTCTTACATGTTTGTGCAGGAAGTCGCTGTCGCGCGCACGCATAGACAAACGCTGGCTTTGGATCTCGAGGAGGCAGATTACATATCTATGGCCGGGAACGCTCTCTAGAACTGTAGTACCCTAGTGATTAGGGGTAAGCTTCAAATGCACAATTGTATTTACAGTGTCACGGTCACCTAAATCCAATATCTCTTAGTTAAATAAACCAAAAACTACAGATTTATTATGACGATTATTACCAAATTACAAACGTATTTTGTAGAAAGAAATCAATGAGGAAAGAGTATAAGAAAAATATGACCGACAGGGGACAGCCTAAATATGCAAGATCGAGGCATCTACCCTCCTTTCTGCTCCCGTGGCGGAGGAATTTCAATGCCCGCAAGGGCGAGCTGCGCGCACGTACTGGGATTGCCCGGACATTGGCCTAGGAACAGAGAATAAGAGTTGATAGAAGTTTTCCAACTTTTCCGGTCTTCCACCAACCTCTTCGATGCCGCCGATCTACAGATTCTCGGTCCAACCTGAGCTTGACCTTATAATTTCTTCCCTCTACACGACCGTCCAATACAGAATACATATCTAATTCATACGTTTCATCTTTTTATCATGCGCATTAACAAGAATGTTTTCTCTTTCAGTCTTCTTCCAATCATGATCTGTTTCTTTGATTTCTTCGACTTTTATTATTATTATTATTATTATTATTATTATTATTATTATAGGTTTATAATATTAGTTAACACAGCGAATTGCTGTTGTCTGTCAATTGTTTTATTAGGCGACTCGCTCAGCATTTAGTCACTTAAGGCATTCATGTTGCAGCCATGACAAAAACATCTACAAAATAAAAAATGCACCGACAGAAAACGTGAAATGAAAAGTGTTCAACGCCCCCCACACTGCTCTTGGAAACCAAGAAATGACCGAAGATCGACAGATGGATGGACAGGAAGATGGAGGGAGGGCGACTTCTTTGGTTCCTACTTGAAGGTCGAGGTGTGCAGAAGCGCCCAGTGAACAAGCTGTTTTACAACTGCACCAAGGTACGAATCCAGGGCACTCCATTGGAATTTGCAGCCGGACGAACGGGTTCCCAGACGGTTAACATAAGATTTTCCCGTTTCTCTTGCCAAACCCTCCAAGGTAACTCAATCATCAATCAGCTCCGTAATAATCTTTGCCATTACGTTATTCATTCACATAAATCTACCGTGGACGTGGAAATATTCGGGTACGAGGAAACCCTAACAAAAATACAATACTATACTGTGTTATAGTACGAAAAGCAACGAACAATTCAAATGACTTTCCTACAAATGTACGCCTCAAACGAAAATTTATTTCGTTCAGTCCCTGACAGAACACTGTGCAATCCAAGGGTAAACAGTATCGTTTCGCAGAGATCCAGGCGCGTGAGAGTAACTCATGCACAAAGGAAACGGTCGCGCCCACACGTGAACAGATTACATCTCTGCAAACGAGACTCTTTGAGCTAATAGCCGGAATGTCCCTCGTAGAACTGGAAAACAGTTTCAATTTTCACAGAGCACGGAGAGAAAAGAAGGACGAGAAAGGATTAACTGGGCATGAGTATTCAGACATTTATTCTTTTAGATTCATTTCCACTTCTGCACGAAGTGATTAATCATCGGCAACTCGTCAAGATTCTGACTCAGATTACAAGATACAATCATAAAATTTAACGTTTTGCCGAACGAAAGTTGTACTAAGTTTTAACGTCGTTTCAAAAGCGAAGATTCCGGCCCATGCAAATGCACACTCCTTCCTGATTCTCACTGCACTCCTCCGAAGTGTACGATCCCGGCCAACCGTGGTCTAACATGGCCTCGTATACGAAAGTCCTGCAAATCTATACGTCCTCGGGTACAACGTTGAGTTCTACCACCGTATGGCGTGTAAAATGTTGCGTGCCTGATCTGGTCTCATATGATATCGGGTCACGGTCTAGTTCAGGAGATTCCAATTGATAGTTCGCAAATCGTTTTTGAAAATAATTTCAAGGAAGAGTGAAAAATAATTATAACTCATTCAAAAGTGTATTTATTTGAATACGAAAAAAATTAGCCAATGAAATTAATAAATAATTAATGTTCAAGATGAAGCTAACGTAGGCAAGAACCACACTGACAATTTCTGCTGTTGATTTTACAAACCGATACGATCCTGCAGAGCAACCAAGAAAAGAGATAACATTTATCAAAATTTCTAGCCAGATATCATACCAAAACTTGAAATCATTTGGTTTAAAAATTATTTCAATGTTTGGGAGCTTGTTGTATTCATGTAAAAGTGTGTTTCCTTCAATTACATTTACTCAAAAAGAGTTCAGAATTCCACTTGTAGATTCTTCCTTTTTCATCTTTTGAAATTAGGAGCGACAGTTCATTGATAGAAATAACTGATCGAGTACAGTACTCTCATAATTTGATCTTTTTTAAGTTTTGATTTGACATGATTATTTTTAGTTTGTCTCTAAGCTACTTTTATTTTGCCTTTTGTCAAATATTAATTCAAATGAACCGACATCGTTCAGTCTTCAAAATTCAATTATTTTTTCACTCAAGTACACAACTGTTAGTGTACTAAGCAATTAACACGATTAAACCTTTGTTTCAATTAAACAATGCTTGTTATTTGATACGAGTGCCTTTTTTCTATTTGTATAATATTACAAAACAAATGGCCTACACTTCAATTTAAATAGCAAGTTCCTTCACGGTCACGAGCTGGCAGGAGAGGAGGCACACTGTTATCCAATCGCGAGCTTCGTTACGATTTAAATTGTTTGGTATTGAAGCTCCGGATTGGATAACAGTTTCCCTCTCTCTTTTCAGCTGACTGTGAAGAGGCTTGCTGTTAAATCGAAGTGCATGCCAATTTTGTAATATTCTACAAGTAGATAGAAGTACTAGCATGAAATAAAACGTATTGTTTAATTGAAACAAATAATATTTTCAGCTCGTGATCTTGAAGCGACTTATTGTTGTTTTTTTCGAAGTGTAATATAAAGGAGAGACCCGCCTAAGGTTTCCAACGTTGCCCTCGTACCCTTAAAAGTTGGACAACCCCCCCCCCTTTGGTCTAGTCTAGCTCTGACCTAGTTTGCGCGGACTAGTGGGCATGGCCGGTCTTCGGGCTTCCAAAGCGCGCGTTGAATGGCCCCCGGCGGGGCAACGTGCTGCGCTGCGTCAGGGTTCCCCGACCCACCTGCTGCTGGAAGGCGGCGTTACGCAACAACTCGGCAACTGATAGGTCATTGGAAAGAAGATGCATTAGACGCCGTATTCCTGTTTTAAGAGCTCGCGCGAGATATCAACGCACTACGCGACCGTTAAGGCGCGGGCGAGACACGCGAAAAAGGAGACAATGCACATGCGCGGATGAGCCATCTACGCCTACTATAGGGATGGCAAAACATAGACGTTTTTAAAACATCGATATTTTCACGCAGAAACATCGATATTTTGCTTTCAATGTTATCTTCATATTGATGTACTTGTTCAGAAACATCGTTTTAAAAAAAAATCTCATAAATATAAGAGTGAGCAAGGAATGCATACAAAGTAACAACACGCAACAACCATGCCTTTCGCAGGAATCGAACCCATTACTCTGATGTTACTTAGGAGCAAACGGTCCAAACACCTGCGTCACCCAGCCAGCTAGGAATCGAAGCAAGAGGGTGTAATTTGAAAGGCAGTGGTGGTGCTGGCGTGATGGATAAAAAAGCCTCATCATTTTACAATACAAATCAAACAATCACGCCCAAGGAGGGATTCGGACCCTCGACCCTTCGAATCGAGAGTGGCAAGTCGCCTGCGACTAAAGGATTTCGTTTTGCTAAGTAAGTTTGGTGAATAGAGCTTACAAAATATGATTGTAGAATTGCAAGAATACAAACTATATTACAAATCTATGTAGCTATTACAAATAATACGATAAAGTTCTTTTTGTCTAAGCATCACTAAATTCTCGGTCACATGTACTAAGTATGTACATCTCATTATTTAAAGTCAGAGTACTTTGCATGTTATTACACAACGCACGATGCAGTTTTTCACAAACAGACTGCACGGGCTTCGTACCGAGTCAACAATGGCTCGCAAAACACTTGGCACAAGCAGTCAAATTCGCTGAGCAATTATCACCAGGGAAAAGTGTAAGTGTGTAAGACCTTGTGCAAGGCGAAAATTCATGACTGCAGTGCTAACCGGAATATCACTCATTTCGCTGCAACACTTCCTTGTGACTGTGTACAAAAGAGGAAAAGTTTGAAGGGAACCTCACATAGTGATAAATAGACCTCGAATTCTCGAGGTCGAAACTCTCAAAAATCTCTCATTTTAAACGCC